AGTTCAACCATTGTGGAAGACAATGTGGCAATTCCTCAAGGACCTAGAAACAGAAGTTCCATTTGACCCAGCAATCGCATTACTGGGTATATATCCAAAGGATTACAAATCATTCTATTATAAAGACACATGCACACATATGTTCATAGCAGCACTGTTTACAATAGCAAAGACCTGGAACCAACCCAAATGCCCATCAATGACAGACTGGACAAGGAAAATGTGGCACATATACACCATGGAATATTACACAGCCATAAAAAATGATGAATTTGTGTCCTTCGTAGGGACATGGATGAACCTAGAAACCATCATTCTCAGCAAACTGACACAAGAACAGAAAATCTAACACTGAATGTTCTCACTCTTAGGCAGGTGTTGAACAATGAGAACACATGGACAGAAGGGAGGAAGCATCACACACTGGAGTCTGTTGGGGGGAACTAGGGGAGGGACAGTGAGGGGTAGGGAGGTTGGGGAGGAAAAAAAGGGAGAGAAATGCCAGATATAGGTGACAGGAGGATGGAGGCAGCAAACCACATTGCCATGTATGTAGCTACCCAACAATTCTGCATGACCTGCATATGTACCCCAGAATCTAAAGTACATTTATATATACATATATACATGAACTTGCTTTGTTGCCCAGCTTACATAAGCATACTTCACTACAACTTTGAACTCCTGGGCTCAAGCAATCCTCCTGTTTCAGCATACTAAGTAGCTAGGACTACAGGGCCATGTCACCATGCCCTACTTACTTTTATTTTTTCTAGACACAGGACTGTGCTATTACTGCCCAGACTGGCCTCAAACTCCTGGCCTGAAGCAATCCTCTTACCTTGGCCTCCCAGAGCTCTAGGATTACATGGGTGAGCCATCACATCTAGCCATTTGTCTTTAAAATGATATAGTGCCTACCACAAAACTTATGGTTCGAAATTAAATGAAACAATAGGTAAAGAAACTTTGAAATCATGCTCAAAAAATTGTATCATTATTAAGCATTAGACAATGTTGAGTTTTATTTGATATGAAAAAATGAAGAGGATTAAATCAAAGATTATTCCTAAGTCCTTAAGATGTCATGAGGTTTTAGAAACTATTTGGAATGAAAGATGAAAAAATAATAGAAGAAAGAACTAAGTCTGTCCCCTCTTTTTAACCTGGCCATGCAAATGCAGTAACAGTGGCTGTGGAATTAGAAAAAACTTGAGTACAATCCTAAATGAGTCGTCCACTAGATGCACTAGTCTATAATCGTTTATTTAACCCCTGAGCCTCATTTTTCTCCTATATAGAAAGGGAATTGGGATGGATTGTATTTTTTATACAGATTCACTACTCTTTTGCTCTAAAGAGATATATATATATATATATATATATATATATATATATATATATCTCCACTATCCAATGCCCTGTGAGTTAGAGCACCATTTTCTATGGGAGGTGTAGATTTACTACTCCACTGATATTGGGCGTCACCTTGACTTGCACCTGTCAAAAATGAAAGCAGAAAGAACACATATTATGTTCATGCAGACGTTTAAGAGTGATCTTGTTGCTTGTTTTTATCTTTTCCATAAAAATGGCATGTTCCCAATAACAACTGTGCCTTCAGCTTGAGTCTAGAAATAGGAAGCAGAACTTCAGCGGTCACCCCCACAGGTGCCTACACGTAGCGTGACCTAGAAATCAACCTTTGCTTTTGCATGCCACTGAAATTTGGCAATTGCATGTTAGTATATAACATAGAAAAAGCTAATTCAGGGGGGTAATATACCACAGATGAAAATTTTGACAGATTATAGGTGCTTAAAAAACACTAGCTTTTTCTTTTCTCTTCTCTCATATACCTGTCAATAGACTTGCAGGTGAAAAAAGAAGAAAAAGTGAAAAGCGTTTAAAGAAAGGTGAGAAAGGAGGAAAGTGAACTTGGAGAAAGTTTAGGAGAGCCTTGAATATTTCCACCTTGGAAATGGGAATGATTTCCCTTCTTGTTTGGGAAATATTAGGCAGTGAGATATGCATTAATTGCAGTCACTCCTTATTTATTATGCACCAGTGTTAATTTATAGTCCACCATATTTTCAAAAGTATAGGATGCAACATCACTATCTCTACTGAGATTTAAATTATACTACATCAGTTAGGGCCGCATTCCCTTTATTCATAAACATCTTCCAGTACTGCATTACCGTATGAGGTATTAGCGCCTTTTGTAAATGTGGATTTTCCAGCTGATGTATCACTTTACATATACCCACGAATACATAATTAGAATTTGAAATAAAAATAGGCTCCTAGGAAACATAGATAACAGAGCGTAGTGAAGAACAATGTAGCACAGTAGAAAGAGGTCAGCCTTTGATTCAAACCATGGGTTGAAAACCTTGCTCTAAAATTGCTACTTTTGTTTTTCTTTTTTTTTTTCTGACTCTTTTGTGCTCCAGTGTTCCATCCTAGGAAATTTTAGAATAATAATACTTATTTTTCGTGTGTGTGGGGATTAAATGAGGCAAGACATGTAAGGTATCTTGCAGAAGGTACCTTAGGCAAGTTACTGAAATTTCGCCCTCATGTTTTTATCCTTTTTTATTGAGATAAGACACCATCTCATGCCAGTTACAATGGCGATAGTAAAAAATCTGGAGAGAACAGATGCTGGAGAGGATGCTGGAGATATAGGAACACTTTTACACCATTGGTACAAGTATAAATTAGTTCAACTATTGTGGAAGACAATGTGGAAATTCCTCAAGGACCTAGAAACAGAAATTCCATTTGACCCAGCAATCCCATTACTGGGTATATATTCAAAGGATTATAAATCATGCTATTATAAAGACACATGCACACATATGTTCGTAGTGGCACTGTTTACAATAGCAAAGGAGAAATACAACAGGATCTTTTTTTTTTAATTAAGAAATTATGTTTGGCTAGTATAACTACTAGTAAACCATAAGTATTACCTGCAGAGCAATGAAAGATTCTGGGTTCTATTGCTGTAGGTTTTCATTTAATAGGGAAAGGGAAAGTAGAGATAAGTACTGGGCATCCATAATTTTAAAACCTTTTCTGTGCCCTTTCAATATATGGTCAGCCACATAGAGGGGAACAATACATGCTGGCTGGGATCTTTTGGAGGGTGGAGGGTGAGAGGAGAGAGAGGATCAGGAAAAATAACTAATGGGTACTAGGCTCAATACCTGAGTGATGAAATAATCTGTAAAACAAACCCCCATGACATATAATCTGTATAACAAACCTGCACATGCACCCCTGAACTTAACATAAAGTTTAAAAAATAATAAAAAACATTAAAGATATTTATACAGTCAGGATGTAGACAACTCGTAGAGAGAGAAAAACTCATGATTTTGGAAATGAAAAAGAGAAATCAGATCATAAACAACATTATAGTGTGCTAGTAGAATTGAAGTTCATAGTTTTTGAGGTGAGCTGGGGGAAGGACTGGAGGAGGGAGAGGTCGGGGAGTTCTATGGTTAACATGTAAACTCCTTTGAAAATCAGCTGGTGGAGAAGAACCAGACATGCTAAGCCAGTTTTACCAACTGAAGAAAAACATATTTGGATCAGTAAGAGATGTTACCACCTCAAAAGTTCCCTTTTGGCTACCTGGCAGTATTAAAATAACAAAAACAATTAAAAGGAACAATATTTCCATTTTAGGGTAGGGGTGCTGGAATGGCAATGTGGGCCAAAGAACAGTGAGAGAAATTGACTGAGTCGAAGCAGTTGTGTGGAAGTGTTGGAAGTAGCTATTAGGGTTGTAGACATATGCTTAGTGTACATTTTCAATGTAATAGCTACCATATGTTCTTTCAACAAAATACCATTGTAAGTTTTAGACTGTCTGTTATACTAGAAAGAACTAGTGAATAGAGATGCAGGGACTGAATCATGTCTGGCCTGGAAACTTAAAACATCAAGAGTAGCATCTTCCTACACAGACCCAAGTGACATGCAGCAGTATATCACTAAGAAGAGTCACTATGTGAGAAAACCCTACCTACCGAATTATGTGGCTTTTCTTGTTTTAGATAGCCTTCACTTCCAACTAATGCAGACCTGCAGTCAGGAACTAGTGGACTGTAGCATCCTTTGGCAACTGAGTTGTTTTGAAAGACACTATCGTGTGTCTATAGCAAGTGTCTGGCCACCTGACTCCAGTGCTAATGCCGTAGTAGAACATCAGTCCCAGAGTTATGGCAAACTTGAAGTGCATTGGAGATTGGGAAAGCTTAGTCTCTAGATTCAGTGGCAACCAAGGGAATCCATTGCACCCTAAGGCAGAAGCTAGAACAAAGGACAGAGACAATAGGAAGCAGTATCTGTCTCAGAGGCTCAAAACATCACCAAGGGTTCGTACGTGCTGTGCAGCAGCTTTCACACACTCTCCATTCTTCTAACTAGTTTGAAAACTAATTTGTTTACTATGATTTGTACAAAATGCCCTAAATAAATGCTTTCCAAAGAGTAATGGGTGAGCAGAATAAAAATTATGTTGTGCTCATTTTTACAGCTTATTAGCTACAAATGTGATATTAAAACATTCTTACAACTTTTAGCCTGAGAGATATTTATTGATGTTTGCAACGTTGTAAAGGATTTTCTTGGACTCATGAAAGGAACTCAGGCAGATGAGTTGAGAAAATCTGATACTAATGGAAGATGAACTCTGGCATCATCAATGGATTCTTTACAAATCTCTACTCATTACTCACCTATCTCATCCAAGGAGCTTTACTTGTCTAAGCACCAAACTTTCTTTTTTCTAAGGAGCCCCTCTTTAAGATGATATCCTAGCATGTAGGTGCCAGGGCAGTAACTATTAAGTGCCCACATATGGTGTTTTATGGCAATACATCTGATGCTATTATATTGTTGTCACAAGAATACTTGGCTCTTTAAGCCAAGAATACACATGCTCATAATAAATGATTTTTATGACTTCACATACACAATCACGAAGCACAGAAAGTATAAAGGAAAGACTGCTTGTTTAATGCAGCTTTGGCACTAACGTTATTCCCAATTATAGGCAACAAGAGGATTGTATGAAGCCAATGAAAGTATAAGGGTGGAAAATGGAAAAGATAACACTATGATTTCATATACTGAAGGCTGTTATCGTTCAAACTGCAACAGTATTGTTTTGTTGTTTTATTTCCCTCCATGATCTGAAATGCTCCTTTCTTCTCTAGCAATACTAACATGTGAATTGTCTCACTTATCAATAGCAACTCTTTAATCTTTATTTTTTGGCTTTGAGCAAAGAATAAAGGTAGTCAAATGATGCTTCGTATAACATTTCATGTTCAGTGGCAGATTTTTTTTCCCCTCCCTTAACAACACCTATGCCTTTAAGAGTAGATTTGGGAGAAAGGGGAGGTAGAAGACAGCTGTTCTCCTGTTGTTTCTGCTGAGGGTTTGTACACTTCAGTATTTCCAGATTACAGCCCTGTGAAGCATTTACTGCAAAATAGGAAGCCTTAGCCAAATATGCAGGGTTTCAGGTCTGCAGACAAAATTTAAACCAGCTGGGTTTTAATGGGAACTTTTGAGTGCAAGTAAACCTAGTGGTGAAACTAAAGCCAGCATTTTTGTCTCCACTGGAATAGGCTACATCTTTAGGAACTATTCCTCCATGTCTCTTCTCTTAAGGGAGTTTTGAATTTTGAAAGGTCCTGAGATAAAATCTTCCAGATAATTTCTTAGAGTATCTGGCTGAAATCTTAGCCAACAAAGGTGGAAGATGCAGCCAGATATGATGCCTTTCTTAGTCAAATCTTGAGAGAGATGAGGGGAAGCTGGATTTCTCTCAGTAATCTAATTTTAAGTTGCCCAAATTAAAACAGATACAGGTTCCCTATGCACACGTACTTATAGAAACAGGGCCAAAAGACACACATTCACTGAAATTCACACACATTTACAATAGTGCCTGGTCAAAATGGCAAATGGTGGCTAACTTACTGGATTTGTAGATGACAAAAGTTCCACATCATATTTTGAATGCCCGTTAGGAGAAAATTATTGTTTTCCTTGCTTAAAAATATGCAGTTTTATAGATTCAAACACATAGGTACTAGAAGCAAAGAAACATGCCTTCTTATAATCGTTTACTGAGTCTGGACACATGATTAGCTGTGTAGAATTTTTTGAACAAAGCAATAAAAGATAAGTAATCTGGAACTAGAGAAAACTCTGTTATCCCAAATCTCAATTTAGCTCTCTGAAAGAATTTTTCCGAGGGTAAAGAAAGAAATAATACAGACTTTCTTAAAATTTTAGTATAGTAATAGGAAAGGAAAGTTATTGATTGGTTATTGGTCTTTTTAACATTAAAAAATAGTCACCCGAGAGGTGGCCATATAGACAGTCAGTCTGGAGTTTGCTTCAATGGCCCTGAACTTAACCTCAGTTGCCTAATCCAAAACTATCAGAACACATCTAATATCAAAGATCATCTATTTCTGCGAAATCCTTACTAGAATTTAATATGTGAGAAACATGAACACTAGGGAGAAGGTAACTAATTTCCTCTACACCACCTTCTGGAAGTAGGGATCAAATTTGCCTCCTAGACTCTTATAGGTGCCTGCCACCATGCCTGGCTAATTTTTGTACTTTTAGTAGAGACAGTGTTTCACCATGTTGGCCAGGCTGGTCTTGAACTCCTGATCTCGTGATCTACCCACCTCGGCCTCCCAAAGTGCTAGGATTACAGGTGTGAGCCATGTTCACCTGGCCTAGATGTTTATTAAATTTACATTTTTAAGATACAGCTTTTATAGCTTCAATTCTCTTCATGTCATTATTTTATAATGTTGAGATAAAGTGGCAAGCAGATCCATGAAAAGATTCCTTACTGTTGGTCAGATGGGATAATTAAGAGTTTGTCCAGATTCTTATACTAATACTATTAATGTAATGTTTTCATGATATGCTTCTGGCCGTTAGTCATTCACTATCTCTTTAGTTTCTTTGAGGAAGGCAGTAGTGTGCTCAAAGGGAAACACTTGATAGTTCTAGTGCTTTCTGTTAGAAGTGACAGCAAATGTAAAGCCAATTACACAGGTGGACCTCATCCATAGGCTCCACCACTCTATTCGAAAGACTGATGCCTTCCAGGACAGCCCCAAGTACACCATCAGCAAGGGTGGAGCATTATTCATAGTCTAACCCGGAAGCTGAGTATGACATTTTTGCTGTGTTTTGGAGAAAGTTAGGAAAATCTAGAATGAACTCAAGGGACAGAGACTTTCCTGTTTGCAAAGTTCTGATGCACATTCTAATTGCCATGACCAAAGAACCTCTAAAGTTGCAAAAGTTACCATGGAAAATATGACTTACTCAAATGTATTCCGGTTTGACATTAGACGCTTAAACAAATAACCTTATCCAGCTGATCTCCCACACACACACATCTGTTGGTTGCTCTTTACCTCCAAGTCTAATTTTATTCAATGTGAAGCACAAATTCTTCACTACTTTCTAAACACAGTGTGCTTGATGCTGAAAATCTAGTGATGACACTGAGTGTTCAGATGTTTTCTGACTCTATCAATGTGAACAGTAAAATTGTGAGGCCAATGGGAATTCTTCCAGTGATCCAAGTAATCTTGATACTAATGCCTCTGGAATATAGTTTATTTACACTTAATGAAAAACAAAAAACAAGGCTTCTCTTTCTGTTGAATCTGGGGATGTTTTAAAAGGGGAAGCAATATCTTTGGCTGTTGCTTTAAAAGGGCAGGAGATTATTATGATGCTTTAAGTTCTGGGATACATGTGCAGAACGTGCAGATTTGTTACATAGGTATACATGTCCCATGGTGGTTTGCTGCACCTATCATCCTGTCATCGACATTAGGTATTTCTCCTAATGCTCTCTCTCCCCAACTCCCTACACCCGCTGGTGGGTGATATTCCCCTCCCTGTGTCCATGTGTTCTCATTGGTCAACTCCCACTTATGAGTGAGATCTTTTGTTCCACTGACTTGGTAAGCAAATTCAAAAACATCAGGACGGTATCTCAAGCAAACAGTGTTGAACTTCTTTCTATGGAGGTAACAGTAGTGCATGCTATGTTTATGATTTAAGTAAGTGAGCATATCCAGAAGCCACCTGATTTTCAGAAAAGAATCAATGAGGACTCTAAGCCCATGTTTCATAGAGTGTGGTACCTGGACAAATAATTTCAGCATCACTTGGGAACTTGTCCTAAATGTAAATACCCCAGTTTTCAAACCCACTGGATTAGAAACTGCATCGTGTCAATCAGGTTAGTCTATTTCCCAGTAGAGGACAGGAAGGTATGTACAGTCATGTGTAGCTTAATAATCATGAGAATACATTCTGAGAAATGCATCATTAGGAGATTCTGTTGTACAAATATCAGCATGCACACAAACCTAGGTGGTACAGCCTACTACGCATCTAGGCTATATGGTCTAGCCTACTGCTCCTAGGCTACAAACCTGTACAGCATGTTACTGAATACTGACTATTGCAGGCAACTGCAACGCAATAGTATTTATTAAGTACCTAAACATAGAGAAGGTAAAACATACTCTAACAAGGTAGAACACAGTAAAAATATAGTGTTATAATTTCATGGGACCATGATCGTATATGCAGCCTGACTTTGGCAGAAACATCATTATGCAGCGCATAATTGTATATGAGATTGGATAGTAAATTAATTTTTTAAATGTCCTCAATAAATTGTTAAGGTAATTGATATTCTATTCAAAATGTGATCCTTAGGCCAACAGCATCAGCTTCACCTGGTTGCTTGTTAGAAATGCGTATCTCAGGCCCTACCTCGGACCTAATGAATCAGAACCTGCATTTTAACTGGAAATCATGTGATTCTTATACACAGTGAAATTTGCAACTAATAGCCCCAGTTAATTATCTGCCCTAAAATTACTCAAAGATAACACCATACTTAAGAAGTCACTTAATCTAAGAAAATATACCATAGATCTATATCATTCAGAAATTTTCTTCCCATATTACCTGTTTAACATCATAATGACTCAAAAAGTACTGATTTGCTTGATTTTTCAAACCCCTCAAAATCTAGAAGAGGTACTGTTTACTGAGTTTTACTATGTTCCAGGTATTTCTTTCCTGGTATAATCTTTGTACCAACATTCTCAGTTAGAAATGTTTATTGCTATTTTCATTTCACAGACTGGAAATTGAAGGAAAGTGAGAGAATTAACTTGCTTACAATTAGTTATCTTGTAAACGATGAAAAAATTATTTGAATCCAGACATATTGGTGCTAGACGCTCTCTATGGCTGTGGTCTTATAATAAGGTCTATTTACATTTCCAAGCACAAAACTTGACTTCTAGAGTCATTGTTGCTGATCATTGTTTTTAAACAAAATGTAAGAGTAAGGCTGAGGAAGTAAAGTGGAAGAATGGGAACTGATTATTTCAGATGTGAGAGCTAAAAATGGATAAATACACTGATTTATCCCTGAGGACCCAACCTAAAAAATTATCTAGAATTCTAAGCATATATATCAAATAGCATAAAATCTAAAAGTTACGGAGTTTACTATGAATCAACATTTTTATGTTGGATGGTATTTAAACTAAATTTAAATAAACATTTATTTGCTTTTATTATCTTTATTGCTAACTTAAAACACATGCCTATTCTCTACAGAATTCAAAACAATGCAAATAATAAAAAACAAGATCCTTAAGGAATAATCACTTATTTCTAAGATAGAAAACAAACATTTATAAGTGAATGTCTATGAATTTGATGGACTACAAATTCACCATGGAGCCATTTTAATCCAGAAAATACCAAATACTGGACTGTTTACAGGTTATGTTATAAATATGAATACAGAACAGAGAAATTCTGCTGAATGTTTCTTGGAAAACCAAGAGGATTTTTAGCACCTGGACTGAATTTGAAGGAAACTGGACTTGAATTAGAGTTTTGTGTAGAAACCAAGAAAAAGTCAGTGGTTTTGGCTAGATGAAGTGATTTATTTAAAGCCAAAACGTAACATAAAGCTTCTGAAATACTAATTTATATGAATTGGCTATACTAGAAGGTGATGTATGTGCATTTATGTATATATATATATATATATATATGTATATATGTGTGCATAAGACAGGGAGAGAAAGAGAGAGGAGTTTTTGCAATGGAAATGTCTTTCACAATTCACTTAGCTCACTATTTTATTTATAGTCTGTAATCTTCTTTCTTCAGACAGTGATCAGATAATAGTAAAAATTATAACACATATTTATAAAAGTGAGTTTGAGCTTTTATTAATTCATTTGGCACAGTCCTTACATTATTTTGGTAAAATTAATTTAAAATTTTATGTACTAAGGAAAAAATGTAAGACTATGTACATGCACCTCCATATATAAAAGGGTGTATTTAAAGTACTTTCTATAAAAATGCTCACTAATAGAATGTTATTTTTAAATCCAGACCTTCACTGGGAATAGACAGATGAAATACTGTAAGGCAGGATGAAATGCAGCCAAATAAATCATCTACCCATTGAATGCAGACAAGCAAGATGAATAAACCAATCTTGCTAGCATCCTGACATCTAACACGAGGGATCAATAGACAGATGGGTGAGAAGCATGGCTATAAAAAGAAATGAAATGGTAGAAACAGGTACAGAAAGGTTCTTTTCTAAAGCTTCTTAAAAGACTAAACACATTTTGAAGAGTTTTTATGTTAATATTTCACAAAAGCCAACTGGTTCTGCAAATCTTGGGAACAATCTTCTGTCATTAATAGACAGAGCTAACCATATCCATCATTAAAGGGATGCACACATTTAAAAACAAAAATGTGTTATGATCAGTAGCTTATTTACAACGTTGACGCCACTCAAGGATCAACTGTAAAACTATTTCCTACCACTCAGACTTTTTGATCTATAAAAAGGAAATGTGTTGGAAAATATAAGGAGTTAGAAATGTTTTTATTAAAGTGAACAGTAGCAGCCTGGTCTTGTTAATTCCTAATTCTTTTGCTCAAATATTTGAATTAAAAATTCCAGCTTAAATGGAAACATAAAGAATCAAGGCTCTAAATAGAGAAGGAGTATTATCAGGAAGCTTCCAATAAAGCAAAGAAAAACGACCAAATTCAAGAACAGTGCTGCCATAGAAATATGATAGGTTTTTATTCATTTACTCATTCATTCATTCACTACTAATTGAGTGGCTAATTTGTCCCAACAATTGTTTTGGGCACTGGAGTGACGCAGGCCACCTTGAGAGCCACACGTTATTAGTCTTATTAGTCTTTCCTTTCTGAGCACAGACATTTCTTATTCCCTGAGAGGTGTAAGTGAAAAGAGACTCTGGGATGTATGGCTGGTGACTGGGTTTTTCCCAAGTGTGGATTCCCAAACTTGCTTGAAAATTACAACCACCTGGATGATTTTTTAAATACATATTTCTGAGCTCTACCTCAGTCCTACTGAATTAGAATTAGTGAGGTTAGGACTAAATACCTGTATTTTCAATACACTCTCTCTATACTTCTGAGGATTTGCCAGATTTGACAACCAAAAATTTAATGTCTAGTAATACTCCTCAATAGTTTGGACTTGTCTTTGTGACCATATGTTTCTTCATAATAATAGAAAGAATGTTACTAAAAGGGTTGGGGAATCAACTGGCTTTGGTGAAAACTTAATATAGAAACCCATAGCATGTTGTTGACGGAAACAAATTAGGACAACCATTATGGAAAACAGTATGCAGGTTCCTCTAAAAATTAAAAATAGAACTACCAAATGACCCAGTAATCCCACTACTGGGCATATATCCAAAGGAAGTGAATTTAGTGTGCTGAAGATATATCTGCACTCCATGTTTACTGCAACACTATTCACAACAGCCAAGATATGGAATGAACCTAAGAAAATGTGATCTACATACACAATGGAATACTATTCAACCATGGAAAAAAAAGGAAATTTTGTTATTTGTAACAACATGAATGAAACTGGGTAACATTATGCTGAAAGAAAAATGCCAGGCACAGAAAGACAATTATCACATGAACTCACTTATATGTGGGATCTAAAAATGTTGATCTCATAGATGTAAAGAATAGATGGATGGTTTAAAAGCAAGGGTTGTTGGGGAAATGTTGGTCAAATAATGCATAATTACAGTTAAATAGGAAGCAAAAATTCAAGAGATCTATTGTACAACATGGTGACTGTAGTAAGTGATGACCTATTATATTCTTGAAAAAATGCTGAGAGTGTGCATGTAAAGTATTCTCACCATAAATATGATAACTATGTGAGGTTATGTATTTTTAGTTAGATTTAAACATTCCACAGTGTGTGTCTGCATATGTGTGTATGTGTATTTCAAAACATTATTTGTATATGATAAATACATATAATTTATGTATCAATTTGAAAAATAAATAAATCTGGGGAAAATGCAAAACATAAAAAATAAATTTCTAAAATTTTGTAGCACTATTCATTATAGCCTTTGTAAGGCATCAAATAAAAGAAGCCTAATGGTTCAACTCATAATCCAGAATCAAAATAATGGTTTTAAAGGCAGAGTTTTAAAGAAGGAAACAACAGACACTGGGGTCTCCCTGATGGGGGTGGGAGGAGGAGGGAGAGGACCAGAAAAGATAACTTTTGGGTACCGGGCTTAATACCTGGGTGATGAAATAATAGGTACAACAAATCACTATGACACACATTTACCTATGCAACAAACCTTCACGTGTACCCCCAAACCTAAAATAAAAGTTAAAAAAATAAAATCAGAGTCTTTAACGTATACACAGTGTTGGCTATTTAATAATCACTTTATAGACTCAATCTCATTCAAGCTCTCAGGATGGTATATGAAGTCTCTGGTAAGAACTCAACAGGAGAGTTACAACACAGACGCCCTGGGCTCTGAAGCAAGGCTATTTCATCTTTATTAGAGGACTCCTTGCCATTTGAAATGTAGGTCCTATTGGGTATTATCAGATCTGTTAAATAATTGATTCCCAGAAAGACAAGCCCAGTATATCAGTACTTAACTGTCCATGCACAGATGACTACAAACACATGTAGAGGTGGCTGTAGAAGACAGTGGTAAAAGGAAATCTTTCCCACAGGCAGAACATGAGCAGTACTGTTACTTTGTATGGAAAGAGAAGTGGCTAGAAGTAAGATTCATGGTCAGTGGAAAATTGCTTGGTCAAAGGGATAAAAAAAGCCGACTTGGAAGATTGTAGAAAAGGGAATGAGGGAAAAAGACTTGTGGAAGGACCCATGGTAGTGGCATGATGTAGGTATATTTTTATATCTCAGACTTTTGCTTGCAGATAGTATCCACAGCAAAGAAGACCCTCCATGACCATAATTGTACAATGAGCTTGAAGAATGTAGCCATGGTGGCAAGGATTGCAGCTATGCATAGACCTGAGAGAGTGTATTTCCCCTCCCTAAGGCTGATCAGTCAGCGTTCTG